TGCCCAAAGATCATGAAATTATAATTTTTTAGTCTTCACCAGGATTCGAACTTGTGATCCACGGTTCGGAAGTCAAGTGCTTTATCGCCCAGCCACCGCGCCCCCAAGATCAAGAAAGGGCGAGGAAAAGAAAAAAAGGGAAAAGAAATCGAGAATAGTGTCCCTTGCAACCAATAGGACATGATATGAAGGACATCTGCTTTCATGACTGACGGTTCACGAGGGTACCATGTGGCCAACACAACGATCTACCGCCTTTTACTTTCCCTAATTAATATCAGGTACCCATCCCATTTGAGTTAGGTAGACTTAGGGGCGTCTAAAACTCCCGAAATTCAAAATATCAGCCTTCGCCGAGATTCGAAACCGAGACAACTCCGTTCAGAAAATCATTGCGTTTACCACTCAACCACATCGCCCCTTAGAAAAAAGAATGCAATGTGCGTGAGAGAGAGAGAGAGAGAGAGAGAGAGTTTGTGAGAGAGAGATTAAAATGATAGTCATAAAATATTAATTATGTTTAAGTCTATACATTTAAAACGATCAACAATTTATTTCAAACTTAGTGTACTTCAAATATAAAACTGGGGATAAGCTCCGCTATTTCTTCCCTAAACAATAGTTTTGACTAGTATTTAATTTGAATGCTCAATTTTGATTGAATAAAAAAGTGTATTTAAAAATTCTAAATGAAATGGTCCACTAGCCTTCTAAAGTGAATGCCTCAATGCGGATCGTCATAAACTTGAAAGAAGAGTTCTATACGGTAATAATTTTTTTGTTTCGTTTCTGTATGATACTAAATTCCGTCTTTATTTTTGCATTGATTAACGATACGTAATTAATTCTCTTACCCAATATCACCTCACCCCCCCCCCCCCCCCCCCCCCCCCGTGACTACAAATGCGTTCTCTTCTTGATAACATCTGCTACCCATGACGACAGTCAACCCAATTACCGTTCACTAAAGTGATTCATTGGCTGCTTGGTCGTGTGCCATTTGCTCCGAAACGACTGACACGACTGACCCTGGTTCGGGCCTAATTACCTGTTTCCCAGGACTCCTTCAATGCCATTTCACCTCAGAACGGGCTTGCACTTTTTCTACAGCTGGCATTAGAAAATGATGAGTGTTCACCTACTGAATGTTTACCGTCAGAGTGTTTACCTACTGAATGTTTACCTACTGCCTGTTTACCTTCAGAGTGTTTACCTTCTAATTGTTTACCTTTAGAGTAATTACCTTCAGGGTGTTTATCGTCTGAGTTTTTACCTTCATAGTGTTTACTTTCATAGTGTTTACTTTCATAGTGTTTACTTTCAGAGTGTTTACTTTCTAAGTGTTTACCTTCTGTGTAGATGCAATTTTGTTTCAGGTGTCCAACCTGTGACCGTAGATGTGTATCAAGGATTGGCCTCTTAATTATAGAAATGCTCCAATTAGCGGACTACCATATTCACTATCACAACTGCTGATGAGTAGAAGACTCATCAGTAACATCATTCCAACTGATCCCAACTATTGAAAACATCGGTACCTGAAAATGCAGAGACATTACTTAAAGAACGACAGATGAGAAGCAAAGTGAAATACGATGTTCATGCAAGATTACCTAAAGATTACTCTGTCGGTGAGAAAGTGAGAGTTCGTCTAGGACAAACATGGCAGGAAAGCAGTTGTTTAAAAAAACATTTATCACCCAGATCTTACATCATAAAGACAAACGATGGAAAAACCTACAAAGGAAATCAACGCTTTTTAAACAAGAGTTTCGAAGAAGACATCTCTGGGTACTGTGATACCGATGAAGACAATGAACAGCAAACGAAACAGACAGTTATTACGTCAAGAGAAATTGTTGTGTCAGTCAAAACAACCAGAAGTGGTCGAGTTGTTAAAGTTCCTTGTAGATATCAATCTTAAGAACTTTAAAAGGAAGGATGTGATAACAGCTTTAAAAGGAAGGATGTTTTGTTTATATTGCGTCATTGTTTTGTTGTGGATGTTTTGTGAAAAGAGTACTTAAAAGGATGTGACGAAATAAAATGATAGTCTTCAATGTCTACTTATATCAACACAAAGTCTCTGTTTTATTAATTATTATTATTAATGTCTACAGTATTTTATTTATTTCTCTGTGACAAGAGAACAAGTTGAAATATCGTCTTTCGGGACATAAACTGCCATGGTATATCTTATCTTATATAATACAGACGTTACTTCAAAAAAGAGATGATTACGTCCTACGCGTCATGCATTTAGTCATGTATATTAACCAATGACTTAAATTCTGCCAAGTCACTGGTTTTTCTGGCTAGCTCAGGCAACCCATTCCATGCTCTAATAGCACTAGGGAAAAAAAGAGCATTTGTACAAATTTGTCCTGAGCATATGGGACGAGGAATGTGCCTTTATTTTTGTGTCTTTCAGAGTATTTTATTAAATTTTGTTTTTGTATTTGAAGATTATGGTTCAGTGTTTTATGTATAATTGCTACTTTACCTTTGAGTCTTCTGTCCTGAAGGCTTTCTAAATTTAGTGATTTTACTAATGGTGTTACTCTAGTCAAATGTGAATATTCATTTGTTATGAATCTCACTGCTCTATTTTGTGTTTGTTCCAGTTTCTTAATGTTTTCTTGAGTTGAGGGGTCCCAAACGGTGGATGCATATTCTATTATATATTATATATATCATTTAGTTTCACTCTTTACTTTTACAAGCAAATGTTCGAATATTGTAGAGTTTAAATTGGCTTTTATGTAAAGGATATTCTTTTTAAGCAGTGGTCCTATGTGACTAATGGAGGACCATTTTGACCAGGCTGCCTATTATATTGAGCCCATTTATTAGGGAGCAACTTTGACAGAGCACATATTATAGCAAAACTCTTTATAGAAACACAGTTCAAAGAAACCAATACAGCCCATTCGCTTGGCATCAAAATTATAGTGGACCATATGTGTAAAGACTGTTAAGCTTCTGACTGTAAGAATGAAAGCAGGCCTCCTAGGGTATTAGTAGGCGATTTTTTTTTCTTGAAGCAGCTAAGCCAGCGACAAATCCACCGTCCCCACTCCTCGAAGTTAACTCACTACACACCTCATCCGTGCACAAGGAAAGGGCTAGATCTAATTAGAACATATTCTCCCTTTACCTTTACGCACATACCCAGCAGTTTTTTGTCTTTTTTTTAACTTCCGGCTAAATAAACGTATATAATTATGGCTGATCAACCTTTTGCTCCCTGTCCTTTTATTAATCGTTTGCATCTGCCCAATTCTAAAGGCGTAAATGGCTGCTAATTAAAAACATCTAAAAAACTAAAACATCTTTAAAATTGTTATATAAGCATTTATCCATATTATGATATACTTATAGACGCTAATAGTGATTTAACAAATCCGCGAAACTTCTGGCTTTAAACAGTAGGACTGTCGTGAATTTATTTGTTTATATATCGATTGTCACCCCTACTGCCACTAGTGTTTGCTCTCATGTAAGATTGTGTACTGACTATCTTCTGGTCATGACCTTGACTATGTGTGTAGTTATTATCCTCATTCAGTATAATAAAGCTTTAGATGTTAACATTGCCTTTGTCATATTAAAGTACGACAAGGACTAAATGCATTTTTAATTAGAACAAGACTATTACCTTGACTGCATTATTCATGTACTACTGAAATCATATTTCTGTATAGTTTTAGTTGGCCTACTCGTAAGTTGAATCCTTTGGGTGACGATATCTATTATATCCTCGTGAATAACAACAACAAAGAAGGGTCCATCTTACATTTTCAAAGCTGACGCATCCATCTAACCGCGCTCTGGGAAAGAAGGAGCACGAACGTGTCCTAGAATATGAAATAAGAAATGTGTTCTCATCTTTTGAGTCTTTCTGGGTACTGGAGTTTTGTAATGCTGTGTTTATTGTATTATGTAAAAGGTTTTTCATCTATTCTCATTCGATGTATTTCAATAGGTTTATCCTTCAGATATTATGAGGTACTCGATTTAGACCACACCCATTTCCTTTTTTTTTTCAAACCATTTCTTTGGGTTAATTAATGCATCTATATAGCTTCTTCCTGTTTTAATAATGTCAGGTACAATATATATATATATAAAAATTCAGTCCGGAAGCTGGACCTATATGGAAGATCGTGCGGAAACTGGAAGGTAGATGTGCTATAAGCATCCTGGGCCCGGAAGTCTCATGTTGAGAGCTGCAATCATGATTTTATGGTCTACAAAACAAACGAATAAATTAGATCTACTAACGCTAAGGCCTTGTTTGTTTCATTGTTCTAGTACCCCGGTATAACTCACTTTTTTTTTTCTTCCAAGAAACTCAGACTTCTTTCTTCTTTAGAATCATCTCTCTTTTTGTAATCAGCATCATCATATTCTTTCCATCAATGAGCATTTCTCATTTTCTTCTCAAATTTTAAAATAAACGACCCTCAAATTCTGATCTTAGAATAAGTCTGTACTTGTATCCCTAAAAGCAGTACTGTCTAATTTGCAGGTACATTACTCCATTTTTTTTCTTGAGGGTGGACAATGGGGCTTGTCATGTTGGCTACGCTTCTGCTAAATATATTCTCTTATTTTTATCTTTCTTATTTCAAAGTTTTTACAACGTACGGGTATGTTATTGTTACCAAGACTTTTCCTGCTCGATTCAAGGGGAATAAATCGGAACGTTATTTGAAGGTTGCCAATGTCTTGATTGTCTCCCTTAGATTACCGTTACATGTTCTGTTGCTGGTAGTTCGTGTAATGGATGTAACCCAATAAAATCTCTAGATCTGGTACAGTCCGAAGACTTTAGTTCGCCATTGGGAAGACTTTTGTTTTATGAAGCTTCAATAAGTAAATATTGTCTTCGGGTCATCAAAATAGTATATATTTATTTTTTGGTGTCTGACAAACAGGCAAAAGGACAAATTGACTCCATCAGATTTCATGAAATAAAATGTATTTGAATGCAAGAGTTGTTTTTTTTTATATTTTTATTGCCCTAATTTCAATCTTTGTTACAAATGTATAAGCTTTCATACTAGTAACAAAAAACAAACAAACTTAAAATTGTAATATTTCATCAAGACAAACATTTTTCACAAGAAAGATATATACAAATAAAAACAACAACCATTGTTCTCAACTGTTGAGATTCTAATCACAAATATGTAAATACATAGTGGGTATAAATCTAAACATTATAAATATATTGATTCAATGTACAAGAGTTTCTGAAATCAAGTCTTAGTGGACATTATAATATATGTTTATGGAAGACAATAACAAAAAAAAAAAAAAAAAAATAAAATAAAATAAAATTTTAAAAAGTGTATATTTCTATTAGATAAATTCCTTTTAGATACAATTCACCCAAACTCCCATGCTTACCACTGCGGCTATCACCAACCAATCCAACCTACTTTTAACTACTGGTACTCTAAACTAATGTAGATTAATTTACTTCAATAACCAAAAACCAAGGTACTAAATGTACTCCACAGCTGAACACTATTACATTTACTTTATTTACAGACATATTTCTATAAATAGTGGAATGAAGAAATGACACAAGAGAATAAAATAAAAAATTAATACATAAGTTATACAACCAAATCTAGAACCATTAGTAAAGCTACAATAAAAAATTAAACCATTTAAACCACAATAATATATGACATAAAATTAATAAAGAACACATTTCATATACATTTACTTTGTGGATTTCAGTTGAAAGAAATATATATTTTAAAAAAAACGGGGGGGGGGGGGGGGGGGGGGGGGTTGTGAACAAAAAATGAATATAAAAATTAATGTCATAAGAAGTGTGGTCAAGAGGCCTCAACTTGGCTTCTTATGAAGGGGGCCTGAGGTGAGACACACGACTCGAGCAGAGTTATGTTTACTGAGTGCCCAAAGGCAGCACGAAAAAAACACTTCTCCCAGATACCCCCTCTCACTGGTCCACAAATGAGATTGGACCTGAGCATGCTATAGGCATGAAAGTAGCTCTATATAAAAGCTATAATTTAAGAAAATAAGTGTTGGGAACATAGCAACCAGGGGACATAATCAGAGAAACCAATAATCATGACAACTGCTCTTCATCGTGAAATCAAAAACATTAAGGCTTTGTAAACATGAGAAACTCAAATATAATGGAAAGTAAAGATAGTTGTTTACGTGTAAACGAATATTTAAAGGCTGATAACAATGATTAAAATAATATCAATGAGCCAATACAAATAACAATCAAATTAATTAATATCAAGGCTCTGATCCAAGTTAACACCCGATACTATAAACCACAGGCTTATCATTTCTGGTGCTGTGCTGACATAAGAATAGAAAAAGAGAAGGTAGAGTTGAATCTTAATTATATCTTAAAAGTGTGAGTCGTGTGATAATTTAAGACTTAACTTAATAATTGGTTTCCCGGCTGATCCAGCAAACCCATTCCAAGATCAGGAAGCCTTTATAATGTGCTAGAAACAAGTATCATATGAAACTTCGTTTTGTAGTTTAATAAAATTCATTTTTAGTTATTAATTAATTTTTTTTTGTAGTGTTTATTAAAAAAGGGAACAACTCGTGGAAACTCAAATTGATTACAATTATTCTTAAAATGGTTCATGACAGTTGTATTAATTTTAATGTTTGTGGATTATAAGGGTAGATAATTCCTATACAGTTTAACATATACATAGATATAATGTATTTAATAGAAATGTCTTTGTAAACAAAGGAATTATAAACTTTATGCATCATCAATTGAAAAATGGGTTGCCATTTTGAACATAATAGATACATAGGTAATAATCTATAGATTAAACAAAATATATGTAATTAATTATTTTGAGATCCAACCACTGCATGGATACAACCAATGTGTTCACACAATGTTGAAGGGTTAAAAGCAAGCCACTCAGAGTTTACATCTTTTTGTTTCATTAAGTCAAATGAGAAAGCTTTGAGTTTAATTCTTAAGGTATAAAGATCCAATGTAAAAGCATTGGGTAAAAACACACTCAACTGTCAACAATTATTGACTGGATTGTGGGTGGGGACATAATCGCTGTGGCAAACATTTCGAAACATATTTTTCTTGTACATGACCACAACTAGGATGACAGCAATGGCTAAACTTGTTACTACAATTATAGCTACAACAACATGAAGATCAACATCAGAGCTGGTACTGGGCTCATCATTCTTGACAAGCTCAAGAAGCTCATCTTCCGTACCAGCAAAATCAGCAAAGTAAAAACCCAAAGCCTCAGGGGGTTCAGTCTGGCTGGAGTTGTGCCTCTTAAATATAAGCATGACCTGTGATGTCTGGTTACTGGCACACCAGGTGTGTCTGGTATTTATTCTGGTATCATTCCATTCCAGTTTGTAAAGAACATTCTTTTCATAGAGAGAGTAGGACTGATTAGACACAGCAAACAGCCACTCATAGTCTGGGTGGAGTCTATTAGGGGGGGTGTACACCAAACAAATTCTTGTCCCTTCGTCACTTCGTTTCTTCAGATTCACTCCACAGGTGCTATCACCTACCATCACCTCGGCAGAGGGAAATTTGTTATAAACACGTACAATGCTATTATCTAGGTCATAATCCCCGCTGCAGTAATGCTCCTGCATGTATATTTTTCTGTGCCTACTTTCAATGTTAACTATCTTAAGGTCAATGTGAAGCTTTGAAATGGCTATCGGGACATTGATATTGATCCTATGGAGATTGACAGTGATGAACTGGGATGTAGTGCAGTACTCTCTTTTGTGCCACTTGCTGGGACTATATTTTAAAGTAATAATAGTACTCAGCTTATCTCCATACCCATCTGCAATTTTTAATTCTGCATTGGGGTCATCTATTGTGTTCAATGGGCCATCCTGTATCAAACACAATCTGGCATCCTCTTGTTTTGAGCGAAACACCATCTCACAGCCAGCCAAGGAACTTTGAGTCGCTGTACCTGGCTGGGCATCAGCTTTCAGGCTGTAGATAGCATTAACGTCCACAATCATGGGTTGACCTCCGCAGTCTCCATAGGAATTCAAATATCTATAAAAAGTTTCAGCATAACTGAACGAGAAGTAGAAACATAAGAGCCACAGAGTTGCCATTTTGTTGACCATTTTCAGGAACGCTATGCTTGATGGTAAGCTCATCTGTGAATAGACATACATATATAGGACAAATTAGAATTTGCATTATTGTTATGGCATGATTAGGAATTATTTGTTTTTGAAATAGGGGAAGTTTTGACTTAAAGACAATGACATGACTAGTAAAAACAAGACTAAGTTTTAGATAGAATGAAATATCAGCTGACAGAAGACTACTTCGAGGACAACGTAGAGATAGCTAACATTTTATCAGTGTATAGAGTTAGCTGACATTCGATGCTTCACTTCATTGCTATTAAACTTGTTTAGCATTCAGTATCAGTGTCGACTAAATTATATTGATTGTTTGGCCTTTCACCGGTGTTATTGGATTACATATTCGGATGAGTGTTACCTCTATTTAGTTTATTTGCACCAGACATATCGGAAGCGCCTACTAGTAGATAATCTGTAATTGTCAAGATGTTTGAAGTGTAGCGGATGAGCAGGAGAGTGTTGAAATAGCATGAGAAGAATTTCAAAATTAAATTCCAGCAAAGGGTGAGAGCTTTAATTCAAGATGTTCGAAATATTCTAACCCCAGATTTACAGGTTGTCAGATAAACTTGGCATTGGCTACAATATAGAAGTTGAAATAACAGTTCCTGCTAAATGTGACAATACTAGATGGCTGCCTGGTTGTTGGTATGCCTGGGCATGCTACCCTGCCTCATAGTGGCGCCCAGGTGGAAACAGTCATAGGAAGGAAACAATTAGGGCAATTGGGTAGGGAAACAAACCAGTGGGAGTGCCTAATGGGTGCAAGAGTACCCCCATTGCACAGTGTGGGGTTGTAAAAGAGCTCCCACGACCATGTCAACAATCCAGGTGCCGTTCCTCAAGGGACAGGTTAAAAAATTGTTAAGTCCTGCATGGTTGGCCTGGAAAAGGAAAATTACAGTGGTTCCAGGGGTGCTCAGCTCAGTAGAGTCTCTAGTCAGTGAGTCCAGATCATTGCAAATAAAAGTGTCAATCTAGACACTTGTTATTCAAGTTATTTGAAGTTTTATTAGCTAAGATATATTACACCTACAATGGTTTAGTTGTCTATCAGCAGTTTGGTACTACAAGTCAATGAGTGGTAAAAGCACAAGTGTTTCACAATCTGTCTTCCCAAGGCCTAATATATCCTTTGTTACAAACGTTACTTCAAAAAAAGAAGATACTTACGTCCTATGGATTTTATGTGTCTATCTAGTCATGCATGTTAATCAATGATTTAAACTCTGCTAAGACATCAGTTTCCTGGCAAATTCAGACGACCCATTTCATTCTCTAATGACACTAGGGAAGAAGGAGCACTAGTACAAATTTGTTCTAGTGTTAGAATAAGAGATGTGCCTCCATCTTTGTGTCTTTCTGAGTATTTCTTTAGGTTTTGCTTTTCTATTTTTGTAAATTATGGTTTAGTGTGTAACTGACTTTTTATTCTTCTGTCCTGCATTGTCTCTAGGTTTAGTGATTTTATTAATGGTCTTACTCTAATCAAACTTAAATATTCATTTACTGTTATAAATCTCACTGCTCTATTTTGTATTTGTTCTAGTTTCTTTATGTTTTCTTGAGTTGAGGGATACCAAACATAGGATGCATATATATTTTAATATTGGCCTGAGTAAAGTAAAATAGCATTTTAGTTTTATGTTCTTGTTTGATTTGTTAAAAATTTATTTTCATAAACCATTATGTTTTGCTTCATTTCCAAATAATTTCATCAATATGGGGATTCCATGATAACTTTTACTTATTATTACACCTCTGAGTTTTTAGTCTGTGTGACTGGTTGAATAAAGTAAGTAGTTTTTATTTGTTTTAGTTTTTTTGTTACTCTAAATAACCGTCATTTTTCTTGGTGGAAAAACATGCTCCAATTTGATTCACATTTTTGTAATTCTTTTAATTCTTTTTGTAAATTTTTCAGTATCTTGTGATGTTTTTATTGTTCGATATATATAATATTCAAGATTTTATTTTTAAATAAATTGGGTCACTTTACACTCCTATACTGAACGCAGTTTTTGTGCTTTCCCCTTCATTGGACACTGCGCACTGTTGCTGAACACCACTATGTAATAGCTAATAAATTATATCTCTGTGTTATTTAAAAATTATTTAGATTGTATTATAAGAAGTAGATTCACTTCTGCAATAAGTATGTATAGTCTATTGCCTCATATACTCTCTCTCTATGTATATATATATATATAATTTATAGTTTATTTATTTATATACCTATATAATCTATTTGTAGAAACAGACAGAAATAAATATATATAGATCATAGATCTATAAATTAATTATTATAATTTAATAAACGTGATAATTTCAACTAGGTTACATGTATTCTCTCTCTTTTAATTCCCATCCATGGACCCTCTTCTTGTTTTCATAATTTGGATACGTTCGTTTTGTTACACCTTAACACCCCCTCCCTTTCATAGATGCTTATAATTCTTCGATCCACTGCCTGTTTGATAGGTTGTGTGACACTTACACCTTTAGTTGTCACAGTTGACATTGCCTGTTAAATGTTTACCTCAGGTTAAGAGGGTGAAAAGACATGTGAAACTCCTGATATAGAAACAG